CCCCCCCCCCCCCCCCCCCCCTGCGCGCGCGCCGAAAGGCACGTTAGCGGGTCTGTGAATTACGGAGCCCCGTTCACCATGGGAACAGAGGGCTCCGTCCCATTATCATGACTACAATACCAGCCAGTATCTCAAGCAACCAGGCGCGAGACACATAGTCTAGAGTCCCGGTGACCTAAGTGTGTGCACCCACCGCTTGGTTCCAAGTGCGGTAGCACGAAACCTCGAAAAATCATGTAGCAGACGGTGGCTGCAAGACCACAGCACTGTTTCGTGTGACACCTCGCAACTACCGCAGACTGCGCCACAACGGTGGGAAAACTGACACACACCCGTACTGCTGTACCCAGACAACAAGTACATCTGTTGTTGCTTCGGATGGTTTTACCGGCCCGCATAGACTGGTTGCCGTGCCCGGCATCCCACGGAACGTACCGACCACGTGCCCCCCCGGGACAGCGGTGTGGCCAATATTCTCATTTCGGGAAGTAAGCCGTAATCTCCTCTCACGAAGTATTTTATCTTCCAGCGCTGATTCCCCACCACCGCACACACGCTTATTCCTTATTCCCCCCTCCCTGAATTTCTGCAGCGCGATCGATCCATACGGACCTAAACCTACTTGCGCTGCAGTCGCGACAGCAGTGCAGAATAAGGCCATGAAAAGGACACTTACGAATGCCGTCGTTCGTCGTTCTATAAGAAAATAGAATGAAGATTTTCTACACATATTTTGAAGCGTTCTCTTGGAAAATATATGCATATATGTACAAGACAATCGATGTCTGCGGTGCAGCCACAACACGGACTGCGTGATTCACACAGCCTCCATTTTTGCTTTACAGCAGGCATGCCCTTCAACTGTGTGTCACTGCAGGTCCCGGCTGAATATTCTAAAAGCGAAGCTTCTGTGCGTGCAATATGAGCATATTATGCGGTGTGCCCTAATCACCAATCAGGGCTGAGGTGAAGCCAACACCGACTGCGCGATACACACAGCCTCACACTGCCGCAAGCAGGCATGCGAATCCAGCCTTTCAGATAGGCCCATAGATAAGCACGTCAAAATCGGGTCTAGCCTCAATTTCTTATTCTGGGCAGAAGGATCAGCCAAAGTCGGCCAATTTCTTAAAATGGATTTCTTGTTGCTTTGGGCTGTCGCATCCTGCTGATGATCACCATTCTTATTTCTGATGGCGAAGAATACATCAATACACCAAAAGCCTTGATGCAGCATGAAACCGACAGCTCGGTGTGAACATTGGGGGTTGTGGCAGTGCAGTAGAAGAAGTGCAACAGCAGTGGGTAGCGCAGCCCGCGGCGGCGCTGGGGCGCTGGGGGCGCCACGAAAATGACCACTTTCTGCCACTACCGAAAAATTGCATGCCATGAACAAGGTAGGGGGAGCATGGCAGCAGCAGCAGCAGCAGCGGGACGTTTCTTTGGGCACGCTCCCCCAGTTCTACCCCTTGTTTCTTTTGTCTTGGGGGATCGCACGATCATGTTTCTTACTGGGACGCCATGATTGTCTTAAACAAGTATGCACACGGATTTTAAAGAGGAGATGGTTTGTCCTTGCCATGAGATATACAGTTAGCGCACGTAGTTAAGAACCTCTAGTTTGGGCCAAGGCTTGGGTTCTTCCATGCCTACAAACGTTAGGTTTGCTACGAATCGCCGCCATTTGGGTTTCAGTGCAGGGACACAACACCCGAGCTCTGCTTCGACTCTCGAGTTTTCGGAGGGTTCATTTTTAGACTGCAAACTTCTTAATGACGTGCGGGCGCTATCTACGCACACAATTAGTCTAATCAAGTGTGTTTCCGGCTTTGTCACGTATCAGAAACCCAACGTACCCGCCGAAGCCATGCCGCCAGCAACCAGAACTACTGCAACTCCGGACGGAGTATTCGTATGAATATATCCTGCACTTCGGAGTCTAGATAATTTTTTTTTGTATGTTTACCTTGTTGCGGTACCACCTGACATTTTCAAAGGCCTTATCGATGGGTGCAACCACCTGGACGAATTTTTCTCTGCGAACCTCGATCGGAGCTCGTGAGTTTGAGAGGCAAGACGGCACGATGGCGGTACTTCTGCATTTTACAAGTAAGGCATCTTGGGGGCAAAAGTCACAAGCAGCGGTCAGCTCCCAGATGGGTGTGACAGCAAGCCGGAAAAAAAAAAGCCGAACTTCGCCTGATTTCTTAGAACCATAGGTTGGGAAGCGACATATACCGGACGAGTGCGTGTGCGCTTCGCGCAAGCGTGCGGCGTGTGCAGGACTCCAAAATCTACCGACGGCGCGTGATGTAGAGCAGTAAAGCATCAGCGATAACCCATCCTGCATCTGTCACACGGTCCCGGGGACAAGAAGTGGGCTGTGCCGTGGTTGTTTGCCGAATCAAGGCGAGGCGTCGCGACCAAAAAAAAGTGTGCAACGAACAGCAGCAGCGATGACGATTGTTTCTGAATTTGCTGTAAGTGATGGTCGGCGGCGTGAACCCATGCTAGCGCGAATGTGACTGCTGGTATGCACACGAAAGGCGCGAGCATGTATGTAACCCATACAAGGAAACCAGCATTCACGTTTCTTTCTCCTCCCTCCGCAGATACGTTGGAGCGTTGGAGCGGCAAAAACAAGGGACGACAGAGAGTACAACGGGTGTTTCGCTCTCTGCTGTTGGTCCGCGGTGGCAACCATTCTTCGGTGGTTACCAGAAATAGCCGCTGCTCTCCCATCGTTCAACACTGCTGCCGGCCGCGCTGTCTACAGGCATATGAGAAGTGGTCGACGACCGCCGCGGCGGTGATATGTATACGATAAGACGACGCCACTGCACTGCTCGTGCGCTGGGGGCGAACACTTGGACGAGACCATACACACGTTTTTCCTCTCACCTTTTTTCCGGTCGATGAGAGTGCTGTTTGGACGGCCCCCGCGATGATCACAACCGCGCAAACGTGCTTCAGGCCAGCTGGGGCTAGGATGCGTTCAAAGAGACAGCAACAGCGGTGTACCTCGCTAAAATTCCTGATGTGTGAGTGCTACGCCTATACGACAAACGTGTGGACTTCGGCCAAAACACCGAAAAACTGGAATAGTTTTTATAGCAAAAGGTTCCGGAGGCGGGTATGAAGAAGTACACACATGTACACGTGACTCCGTGAGTGTAGGATCGAGCCATCTTTTCTGGAGACACTTTCCTTCCGTTCTCCGCATGAATTTTGTGTTTTTTTTCTGTTTCTCCCGTCATTGGACTCTGTCGCTGGCCCCCATCCTCCACCTTTCACTATAGCTAGATGACCCAACCGGGGTCACATAGAGGGGGGGGTTGGACCCTCTCCTGCGGTGCCTGCCTGAAATATTTTATCCCGAGAAGGGTACAGCAACCCGTTCCCTCGCGACTTTAGAATATGAAGTAGACTATCTACGCAGATACATACACAGATAGATACGCAGATGTCCCGATGTACGCGTTGAGGATCCGTACACACTGGAGACATAGGTTAAAAAGATACCGATGCATGTTTTGGGCGAGAAGTCAGGGGAAGAACACGATGTCTGATTACAACTACAGTACTACCGCGCAGACTTCCAAAATTAGATATCTGTTGTATTACCAGATGCGACACAGGCGAGCGTATGTTGTTTTTGTACAACACACACACGGTCATCGGCGCGGATCACAGCACTGACTGGCTGTCTGGTCCGCTAGAAAATGCTTTGGCCCGTAGATACGGCGCCGCTGGCGTCGGGCACAGGATTGCGGGTTCCGCTACATGTAGGACAACTGTAATGACCATGAATCTAAAGACAGACAGACGCTTCGGTCCACAACAAACACCAAACTTACCGTAACTTGTCTGTTGTTGTCTAAAAAAGTAGTCTAGTCTAGACTAGTCTAGAGCACAGAGTAAGTAGGAGGGTAGGATGTATCAGTGTTTCTGCGTTGTTAGTCTATGGATACAACAACCCCCCCAAACAATTAAATTACGCTAGAAAGTGCATATATTCATGCCATACACCGCGCACTGCTGTGGAGTGGCCACTAGTAGCTCTCCGAGACCAACAGATATATCTACAATGTAGATAGTACAATCGTTCGCCCGCTGCGTACCAATCCATGAAGAAGCCAAGGTACTCAACGGAGCTGTTGTTTTTGACGCAAGGCGTATAGATGTGTGGTCAAGCGTAGGTCATGTACACACACCCTATTGGAACGTAGTGACCAGAGGAAGCGATCTATGTAGCGCATGTGTCAGACTGTGTTGGGTGGCAAGCGCTTGACGTCAGAGGTTGACATAGAAAAGTTTGACTCAGGACATTGATAAGATATATGATGTTGTTACCGAGTGCCTCGGCTATGCTTGCTTGCCCACATGGAAGGGGGATCACGACTTCCGCATGTAGCTGCGCTGTTGCTGTAGGGGGGCTTCATGTTTCCAACCCGCGTGTGTTCGGCAATAATATATATAGTCTACAGGGCTTCCTCCATCGAGGTAGTCTCTCATAACTCATACCCCACGAGAGTGCTTCCCGGAGCTCGATTACTCAAGAAAAGTTCCTAAAAAGATCCACTTATTATTATACAGGAGACCTTCTCCACGTCCACGAGTCACCTTTTCGAGGTTCACACTATCGCTGTTCAAGAGCGCCCCTCGAACTCGGTACAAACAGAAAACAACTACGATCAGGTATGTTCGTGTTTGGTTCCCTCTTTGTCATTGCATCCAGACAGCCAGGATCCTGATGATGCTCTTTAAAGTTTGTCGAGATCTTCACAAATGCCACACAAACATAGACTACATGTAGCTAAGGGATCCACACAAACCGTGGCCTTTCTATCCGAGTACACCCAACAGCCCCCCACTCGGTACTGAATGATCCATATAAATATTTCTTCGTAGGATCGCCCAACTTGGCCGTGAAAATTCAATCCCAAATCTAGATTGTCTATCTTTCCAATTCGAAACAAATCTACCTTGTTGAGTAGCTTTGTGCGTCGGTGCCTTGGCGCGCGGGGTCCCTTGG